GATTTAAATAAAAACCAAATTAATGAGTATTTTGTCCTCTGCATCTTCCCTGGAGAGCGTGGATGATGTTTATACCATAATCCCTGCACAGTTTGAGGTCATTCCTCTGCTCCTGGAGATCAGCCCTGGCCTGTGCTGGCTTCATTCCTGTCACTGAGCTGGGCTTTGTGTTCACCTGCTGTGGAAAACCTTGGGAAATCTCACTAAATCAGAGTTTTTGCAGGATAAGGACCTTTGGCTTAGAAAATGGGCTCAATTAATGAATTAAATTCATTTGAGGGGAATGGTTTTCCATGGACAGGGACAGATGGGATGTGGGGAAGGAATGAGGGTGCTGAGGCCCTGGGGTGATTTCCCAGAGCAGCTGGGGCTGCCCCTGGATCCCTGGCAGTGCCCAAGGCCAGGCTGGACAGGGCTGGGAGCAGCCTGGGACACTGGGAGGTGTCCCTGGGCTGGAATGGGATGAGCCTCAATGCCCCTTCTCACCCCACCAATTCCATGATTCCAAGTGTGGTTGGATACAGATTTTTGGAACAGAAATTCCATTTTTGAGCAGTGCCTTTAATCGATAAGAGGGAAGAGTGGAATGAAGAAGAGGAAGAACATTTGAGGCTCTGGGGCTGGGCAGAGGGAAATGGCATTTCCCAGCTTTTCCCACACAAGCAGCAGCAACATTTGCCACAGTGCAAGTTGGAATCTGAGGGATGATTTTCATTTATCAATAGCACTGGGAAATGTCCAAGAGAGCTCAGCTGCTCCAGCCAGAGCAGTGCAATTCCACACTCCAAGCAGAGCTTTGGAATGTGTTTGGGTTTTTTAAAAGATGATGTTTACCCTTGCTAATTAATATGAGAGAAGGTTTCTGGTTTGTGCATGTTCTCCTGTGTTAACAAGGCATTGGATGGGTTTGATTATCCACTTTGGAATGCTGCCCCGTGACCAGGGAAAGCCATCAGATATTTCAGTAAATAGCTTTGTTTACAAGGGACTGCTCAGAAGAATTATTCAGAATTAATGTTTTAAAATAGATTAATTAAATTACATTAAACTTGTGTGTGGAAAAGCTAATCTGGAATTCAGGTGAATTTAATTTAGTTGCTTACAAATATTAATTTACTTAATTAAACAAAGGCTGATTGAATTCTGTGTTAAGTGTATCAATTCTGAGTAAGAGTATTGGCAGAGATATTGAATGTAATTTATCTAATCAGCTTTAAATTTATATCTTTAGTTGTCTGTGATGAGTTTTTTTTTTTTGAGTATTCCAGTACTGGAGCCACTTCCAGGCAAGTGCTTATGGGGATACTCAAGGCTTTTTGCTCCCATTTTTAAGGGAAAATGAGATGATTTTTAGTTGTAGTTTCATTTATCCAGCAGGTGTCTGCTGGGATTATTGAATCAGAGGAACAAAGTGGGCTCTGGCCTGGGGTGGGGAAAGGTGGGGTAGTGGAAGAGCTGCTCTGGTAATGGGCTGTAGGAGCTCTGAGGGGTTAAAATGTTTGGGGAACCTGGGATTTCACAGAATTGGTTATTGAGGGTGGAAGGAGCTCTGGGATCAGCTGTGCCCCATGCCCACCTTGTCCCCAGCCCAGAGCACCGAGTGCCACCTCAGGAATTGCTGGGACACCTGCAGGGATGGGCACTGCAACCCTCCCTGGGCAGTTCCCATCCCTGACCCCCCTTTCCATGGGGAAATTCCTGCTGATGTCCGACCTGAGCCTGCCCTGGCCCAGCCTGAGGCCGTTCCCTCTGCTCCTGTCCCTGTTCCCTGTCCCCTCCTGGCAGGAGCTGTGCAGAGCCAGGAGGGCCCCCCTGAGCCTCCTTTGCTCCAGGCTGAGCCCCCTCAGCTCCCTCAGGATCCTCCAGCCCCTTCCCAGCTCCCTCAGGATCCTCCTGAGCCCCTTCCCAGCTCCCTCAGGATTCTCCATTCCCTTCCCAGCTCCCTCAGGATTCTCCAGCCCTTTCCCAGCTCCCTCAGGATTCTCCTGAGCCCCTTCCCAGCTCCCTCAGGATTCTCCAGCCCTTTCCCAGCTCCATTCCCCTCCCTGCACACACTCCAGCCCCTCAGTGTCTGTTCTGGAGGAGCCCAAACCTGACCAGAGCCTCAGGTGTGGCCTCAGGCGTGCCCAGCACAGGGGACAGTCCCTGCCCTGGTGCCAGCCAGGTGCCAGTGGCCTCTGGCACACCTGGGCTCCTGTTCAGCTCCTGTTCAGCCCCAGTCCCTTCCCAGCTTTCCAGCCTGGAGTTCCAGGGGTTGTTGTGACCCAAGGGCCCTGTGGAACCTCGTGGATTCAGGCTGGCCCCTTTGGAGGCACCCAAGGAATTGGGAGTGGAGGGGGGAGGAAATCCCTCCAGGACACACCATAACCTGTTCTTCACTTTTTAGAGTTGGAGGAGCCCCTGAAATTCTCTGGGAGAATCCAAAAATGCAGCATAGATCCACCAAAAGCCCTGGGCTGGAATTGGTGTGAGCCTGGCTGGCCAGGAACTCCTTTCATGGAATATTTTCCACTGCCTGGTAGAACCTTCCTCCCCATCCCCTCTCCCAGACAGGGGCAAAGTGACCATAAAATATTCCTGTGTTGATCCAACTTCCATGTGCTGCTTGGGGAGGAGAAGTGGGCACGTTCCTTGGCCCTGCTGTGGTTTATCCCCAGCTTCCTGGCTTTCTGTTAATATTTCTTTTTTATAACTGAAAATTTGTTCCTGGGAATAGTTCAGCACTGGTGGCCCGATGCCAATGTACATACACTTAATTTAGATTTAATGGGGACTAGAGGTTCAGACAGAAGGTGGAAAAAAAGGGGGAATATAGAGGAAATTTCAAGAAAAAGAGTGTTTTACGTGAGGAAAACTGGTAAATACTTCACTGAGTAAAGTACATGGAAACCATAATGGCAAAGTTACTCTGGATTTGTTGACTGAAGCTTTTGGAAGCTGATAAACTCCTCTAACTCTCATCCTGTTGAATTTGATCAGGCTTTTCCCCTTGGCTCTAAAGCAAGGTCATCCCACCAGTAAAATTTACTGTTAGAAATGGAAATGGTGAATCTGGGAGAGGGACTCTTTATTCAAGGTGTGAGAACTGCAGTGGCTGCAGCTTCCTTGGACTTTCCTAATCCTAATTCATTTATTTGTTATTTTGTTTGTATTTATTTGTTTCCCCCTTTATGTTTTGATCCAGGATGGCAGCAGAAGGGAATTTTGTCCTGGCTTTGAAAAGGCAGAATTGTGGTTGATTTCTTCCAAGTTGTGTCTGACTTAGTGAGATTGGAATAAAATTCATTTGAATTGAAGTAAATACTGATGTTATGAACACACATTTCTCTGTGTGTGCTGTAGCTGCTCTGCCAGCTGTAGGTTGGTGGTTGTGCCCTTCTTTAAAGGCTCTGGGACAGAATATTTGGGTATCCCTGAGGTGAAGTTGAGCATTTCAGCCTGTGTCCTGTCAGAGGTGGACAATGGGTGTTGGAAACACGAAATAATTCAAAGAAAAATTGAATTTAGTGATTTTTAAATTTAAGTTTGAAGGCATTGAGTTGTCTATGCAGGGCCAGGAGTTGGATGATCCATGTGGGTCCCTTCAAACTCAGGATTTTTTGTGCTAGATATGTGAAGTATTAAAGTGGATTTATACATTTATTACAATTTAATTGCAACACAATTATTGCAATTCCTTCAGAGGAGAAATCTGTTGCTCTGAGTGGTTTCAATGCAATACATGCAGCATCAGTGAGTCCTGTAATAACCAAGTGAATTACAGTGACTCCTGCAAATAAGAAGCTTTTTAACAGTTCTAATTTGTTCTAATTTGGCCTTTTTTGGTGCTTGCAGTGGTGGATGTGTCCCCTGAAGCCGAGGCAGGGCTCTCCTGGTGCAGGCCATGTGTGACAGGATGGATCAGCTCAGCTGCTTTGTTCTGCTCAGCCTGGCTGGGCACCAGCGCTTCTCAGAAATGGCAAATTTCCCTTGCCAAAATGGCATCTACGAGCACGGAAGGACTGCCAGGGTTTTTGGGCTTGCTGCCACACTCTGTGCTGGCCCAAAACTCTTTCACCATGAGCAGAATTTCAAGTGACTCAGTGCTGGCAGTGCTGGTATTTTGGGTAAACAGTTGGGAGATGTGGGGAGGCCTCCTCAGAATCCTTCTCTAGGTTTTGTTGCTCTCCTAAAAATTTATCCTCTCCACGTCTGGCCTGATGGATTTCTTGGGCTCAAGTGGGAGAGGAAAATCGTTGTACATAGTTGGATTTGATTCCATGTCCGTGTTAATGGATGAATTATCATTTCCATCAGTAAATCTCCATTTATCTCTTCAGTGTTTATTACTCTAGGTTAAAAGAGGAAAAAAAAAAATCCACTGATCTCTTGGTATTTGTTGTCTAGCCCTTTGTAAAATGGGAGAAAGCACAGCTAGGAGAGATTGCAGCGATTTTATTTCAATTTTACAGGTTGAAGGTTTCTCTTAAAACACTAATAAATAACCTGGACTGAGAATTCCAGGGCAGCAAGGCTGAGAAATATTTTGACTTTAAACTCAGGACCATATCCTGAAAAAGGTTTCATCAGAACTGAGCTGTAGAAAAACCAGGCAAGTTCATCCTGAAGAAAAAAGTCAAGTTTTACTTTAGTTGTAACAAGGTGTGAGGAAACTCCTGGTTCTCACTGAGTTTAGGAAGATTTTAGAGGCCTGTTAAGATTCAGAATTTGCAGTTCTTGCAAACCTGGTGTGGATGGGAGCTTTGAGGGTGTGAACCTGAAAGTTCTCCCTATCCCTGGGAATGTGCAACGAAGAGCAAGGAAAGCTTCAGCTCCTGCCTCAGCCCTGGGGCAGGGAGGTTCCTCCTGCAGGAGCTGAACCGTGGATGCCACTGGAAAATCCCTTTGGAGCTTGGTCATTTCTCTGAATTGTTGATAAAAGGAGAATGAACAGCTGCAGGTGTTGATGCTGCCTGAGCTGTTTCACAGATATTAACCCTGTCCTTGCTGCTGTTTTGCAGGAGTGCATGCCTGGGCCAGCTCTGCCCTGGGGAGCTGCAGTGGTGCCTGAGGGGTTTTGCTGCAGGTTCTGAATGATGTCAGAGCAGGATTTGGCTGATGTGGTTCAGATTGCTGTGGAGGACCTGACTCCTGATAATCCAGGTAGGAAGAGATTTCCAGCAGTGCCCATGAACTGGAAGTCACTGCTGAGCTTTTCTTTAAAATACCAACCAGGGTTTTATTCCAAAAGGTGCTTTTGAGCCCATGTCCCATGATTTCCAGAGCTTCACTGTGTATCTCCAAACCCTTTTGATCAGATTATTTTATTTATTTCACTTTTCTCTTAAAGGCTTTATTGCCTGTTTGTTTTTTTTTGTGGAGGGGTAGACTAACCCCCAAAACAATGAACTATTCCTGCAGTCTTGTTTTTCTCCATGGTTTAGGCTTTTCCTCCAATGGGAACTGTTGCCCATCCATTAGGAATTGTTTTATGTGTAAGACACTTTGTCTCATCCATTATTAAAATTCTTTGGACAGTCAAATAGGAAAACACTTCTGAAAGCAAATATTTGGATATCACTTGCTCAGAAATTGACTTCCTGAGTGAAAATCTATTGAGATGTTGGTCCTCCGTGGCTATTGCAAGTAAGAGCAGTAATGGAAATGAGAGACACAGGCCAAAAAATTGCCTTTCTGATACAAAATGAAAAAGTCACTCAGAAATGGTCCCAAAGAGTTGGAGGAGAAACTGAGACCTGCCAGTCCTTCAAAAGTCTTTGCTTGGTAGAGGAACTCAAACCTGGTCCCATCACCACTGTCAGAGATTTGAGAGAAACCCCAAGCAAGTGTCAAAGAGCACATTAAATATCTTCATTAAATGTACAGGCTTTTGTTTTCTCCACTTACTGTATTTTTAATTTGAGCTTTGTCCTCTCAGGCTCTAAACTCTGGCAATACAAAAAAACTTCTTGTTTCCTTTGCAGTTGTGCTGGAGAACCATGAAGTGGCAGATGATGATGTGGAGCCTGCCCTGAAACGTCAGAGGATAGAAATCAACTGCCAGGATCCCTCTATTAAGGTTATTTCATGTCCTTCCCTGGGTTTCAGTTTAATGCCTATTCAGTTTAGGGGAAGTTATTACAAGAATGTAAAATAAACTGTTTATACTTAATACTGGAATTATTCTGCTATACACTTGTGCATTTTTAGGCACAAATTTAAAAATCTGGATAATTGTCTAATTTTCCAGTGTAGAATTAGTAGCAAGAATTTCAGATGTAATGTAAAATATCACCAGAATTAATTGCCCCAAAACCTCAGTACTGGGACATTTTTTGATAAAGTAAATTAAATTGACCAAAAAGAGATGAACTTGAGGATGTATTTGTGTTACAATTTGTAGATACTTTCAGCATGTTTGAAGTTATTATTTGAAGCTCACAGCATTATCCTGATAGATAATTCACATTTAATTCTGGCTCAGGAGCTCAGGAGTCACCCTGCTGTGATTCAGGGTTGGTTTTTGCCCTGGAGTGTGAGTACCTGATGAGTATTTCAGTGCCACAGGCACTGTCCTGTGTAATTCTGTATTTTTGGGGCGATCCCAGGAGCTGGAGCTGTGTGAGGGAGGAGTTTGGGGAGCTCAGTGACTGCAGGGCCACAAGATGGCACAGCTGCTGTTTGCAAAGCACACAGAGTGCAGCTCTTCCCTCTATTGGCCTGTTTTCCCAGGAGAACCCAAGTGGAATATGTTTTCTTTTCAAAAAGATTGCTTAGCAAAACAGATTTTATTTATTTGCTTTTCTTGATTTGCTGTTCAGCAGGAAGCTGAAGTGAGTGGCATTAATTGTCTCCAAGATTTTTTGTGTTGATACAATTTCCACTGCAATTTATCTGTTTGGGCAGGAAAAAAACTTACTAACTTTATCCAGGAGGATGCATCCAGAGATTTATAATCCTTTTGTTTTCACATGTGGGCTGCAAGGCTTTGGCAAGTCATTAGAAACGATTTTGCAGCGGATGAAATCATCCTGACAAAGTGCTTAGGTGAAAATGGCTTTGGCTGGGCTGCTTTTGGCTCCCAAATAAAGATCTGGAAGAATGTGAGCCTGCTGAAACGCTCCTGGATGTCATCAGGGGTGGATTTTGTCACTAGACAGGCTGTGAGTTCCTTTAGGATCGCTTCCCAGTCACGTTTGTCTGGAGCTTCCTCGGGAGTGGGGATGAGGCGGGAGCGTTTTCAATGCGGGTTCTTCTCCTCCCTGCGCAGTCGTTCCTGTACTCCATCAACCAGACCATATGCCTGAGGCTGGACAGCATCGAGGCCAAGCTGCTGGCCCTGGAGGCCACCTGCAAGTCCCTGGAGGAGAAGCTGGACCTGGTCATGAACAAGCAGCACAGCCCCATCCAGGTGCCCATGGTGGCCGGGTCCCCGCTGGGCGCCACCCAGACCTGCAATAAAGTCCGATGGTAAGGACACAGCACTGCCCAGTGCCCTAAAAACCCCCAAATCCAGGAGCTGGACATTCCTGCTCCCTGTGCAGCTGGCAAGAGGCTGCTGGTGGAGGTAGAGTTTCATTTATCTTCTTGAAGGTAATTTTTGTAGCAGTTTTGGGATGTTACTCAGAAGCAGATGCTGGTCCAGGGACAGTTTGCAGCTCTTCCCACATTTCATCCTGACTTAAACCAGACTCCTTCATCCATCCCCTGGAAAAGCCTCAGCAGCTCTTTCAGACAGGTTTTTGAGACTTGCTCTGCTTTTATTTATAGCTGTTTTGACTTAATGAGTTCATCATCATTCTAATTGCTTCTCATTTTACTTCTTTTCACCAGAAGTACAATGGACTGTGTTTTATGAACTTGTTTGCAAAAGAATCCTGCTAGAAAATTATCTCTGCTTTTTTTGGAGTTAGAAGCTGGAGGTGGAAAGTCTGTTGAATAATCTAATGCACTTTGCTGAAAGATCAGGCTTGACCTGCAGTCCCTTTGTGTCTCACTCCCCTAATGTGGTTTTAAGTACTTAAATCTTGATGTGTCTGTCATCTTATCATCGAGGTGATCCCAGCCAGAGAAATCTGCTTAACAAAAGACTCCTTTCTCCAACACTTCTTCCTCCTTTTTCATTTTTTTATAGCTGGAAAACACTTCATACTGCTCTGAATAACTACTTTTTACTCTCCATTACAAAGGTGTGCAGGCATTTAATTTTTTTTTTAAGCAGGTGCTGTGCCTGCTTTTCCCTCTGCTTTTGAGGGCTTCATACACTGAAAAGATCACTGACAGCTGAGCTGTGTAATAACAGACACAAAGTACATGCAGTAAGGACTTGGATCACAGAGAGAGCAACCAGAGTTTTACACCAGGGCTTTTGCTAAATACTCTTTTCTCAATAATTGTTTCTTCAAGAGCCTTCTTGAAATCTTGGCTGAATGTTTTGTCGTTAATTTAGAGATCTCCAAGTTCTTGTGCACGAGCTGTGGTTTGTGCAAAAGAGGCTTCAGAAACCTTTTCAGGAACCCACAGCCCCTTTGGGACCCTATTAATTCATGCTCAGTGAATGCTTTCCTCTGTAAATTGTACTATTTTGAGTTTCTGAAGGAATTTGTCAGACTTGAGCTGCTTGGTTTGGTTTGGTTTGTTTTTAAATCTCTGCAACCATCAGAAATCTGTCCTGGCTGTTGATTGTACTTCATCTTTTGGTTTGGGTTACAGATTTTTGCTGACAGCTCCTCAGCCAGTCTGACACCATCATTTAGATAAAAGTTTTGAAGAAAACAGGAATCTCTGCCCCAAATATTTGTTGCTGTTGGTCTGAAGTTGCACATTATCAGAGGTGTGATGCCAGGAGAGCACTGAGGGCTTTTTGTGCTGGAGCTGACTGTGGCCTGTGGGACTCGAGAGAAAATAGGGCTGGATGTGTTGAATTTGGCACTGGGGACACTCCATTTGCACAGGGACAGAATGTTTCCCTGAATTCCCTGTCTTTCATCCATAAATCCCTTTATCACTTGTTGATTGTTTCCAATTAAAGGCTGTTCCATTGTACCAGCTCTGTATCCTTCCCTCTTCCCCATCCATCACAGAAGGCAGAGCTTCCCATAAGTTTGGGGTAGGGATTTTCAGATTCTCCACAGGAATAGGATTCTCCAGCCTCCTTCTCCTCCTCCTGCCACCTGGGTTTGCTGCTGTAACAAAAAGTTGTGGTTGTTAAAGGCTGTCAGGGAAGATGGTGCTGCACTGCCAGGAGAGCAGCTCTTGGGAAAAAATGGGAATAAATCCAGTAAATTCAGGATCCTGGCTGAGAATTTGGCCTGTGGGAATCCATGAGCTGGAGGTGCTGGTGGGTGGGGGCTGGCCTTGATTCTGCCCCTCAGGTGAGACCCCACCTGCAGAGCTGCCCCAGCACAGCAGGGACCTGGAGCTGCTGGACAGAGCCCAGAGGATGGAGGATGAGCAGAGGGTGGAGCAGAAAGGCTGGCAGAGGTGGGATTGTTCACCTGGACAGGAGAAGCTTTGGGGTGACCTCAGTGTGGCCTTCCAGGACCTGAAAGAGCTGCAGGAAAGATGGGGAAGGAGTTTGGACACGAGTTGGAGGGACAGGACCCAGGGAATGGCTCCCACTGCCAGAGGGCAGGGCTGGGTGGGAGATTGGGAAGGAATTGTTCCCTGGGAGGGTGGGAGAGAGAAGCTGTGGCTGCCCCTGTGCAGGCACTGAGTTTGTGGTGATTGGAGTGGGGCTGGCCCAGCCCATCCCTAAGTGGGCACAGTGTGAGGAGCAGGAGAGCAGCACTGACAGCAACGAGCCATGGAGTGCCCAGGGGTGCTGGGCAACCACCAGGGAGCAGAGGGCACCCAGGGGCAGGGCATGAACAGGAGGGAGCAGAGGGCACCCAGGGGCAGGGCATGAACAGAGGGCACCCAGGGGCAGGGCGTGAACAGAGGGCACCCAGGGGCAGGGCATGAACAGGAGGGAGCAGAGGGCACCCAGGGGCAGGACATGAGCAGAGGGCACCCAGGGGCAGGACATGAATTTGAGGGCACACAGGTGCAGGACATGAACATCAGGGAGCAGAGGGCACACAGGAGCAGGGCATGAATGTGAGGGAGCAGAGGGCACACAGGAGTAGGGCATGAATTTGAGGGCACACAAGTGCAGGGCATGAATGTGAGGGAGCAGAGGGCACCTAGGGCAGGGCATGAATATGAGGGGTACACAGGAGCAGGGCATGAATGTGAGGGAACAGAGGGCACACAGGGGCAGGACATGAACATCAGGGAACAGAGGGCACACAGGTGCAGGGCATGAACAGAAGGGAGCAGAGGGCACACAGGAGCAGGGCATGAATTTGAGGGGCACACAGGTGCAGGGCATGAATTTGAGGGAGCAGAGGGCACACAGGAGCAGGGCATGAATTTGAGGGCACACAGGTGCAGGGCATGAATTTGAGGGCACACAGGAGCAGGGCATGAATTTGAGGGGCACACAGGAGCAGGGCATGAACAGAGGGCACACAAGTGCAGGACATGAACATCAGGGGGGATAAGAGGCTGGGCTGGAGGACAGGAGGAGCAGCTGCTGCAGCCTTCTGAGGTGGCAGGGTTGTTACTCTGTGGGGGCAGGCACCTGAAGCCTTCTGGTGAGGAATGGTGTTACTGTGGATGGGGAATGCTTCAAGCTTTCTGGAATTGTGTGCTGGTACTCTGTATGTCATCAAATTTTAGAATTTTGTTTGGAATCACAAGATTTTTAAAGACTACAGAAGAAGTGGAAGTAAAATTTGGATGTTTTTGAGTAAAATAATTTGGTGAAGTGAAATTTCAGTTTCAATTTTAGGGGGTGAGAATTTGAATTGTTTTTCGTAATTTTGTGGATTGGGCCATAAAATTGTTGCTTTTCCACATCATGGTATGTGCTGTGGCACCCCTGGAAGTGCCCAAGGCCAGGCTGGAGGTGTTCAGATGTAAATGGAGAAAATCCAGAGGTAAATGGAGCTCAGGTGTTTTCCTGGACCTATTTTTTTTTTTTTTGCTACAGTTAAAAAACAGACCACAAACATCTGGTTCTGTTCCATATGTATTTGTGGGTAATTGACAACAAGTATAGAGATAAAAACATTTCTTTTTTTGTCTTTAATGAGAGTGGGACAGTAGTAAATGGAACTGTAGATTAATTGCACTCAATTAATGAGCCAAAATCCATCCTGGTGTCCTTGAACAAAACTCGTTGGGGGTTGAACATTGGCTAATTAATGTGGCTAATTAATCCTCAGATGCAGTTTTGTACCAGATGGGATGTTTGAATTTGCTGTGTGTTTGTAGGTGTGGATCGTTGAAATGTTTGCTTTACCATTGAATTTAATCAGCAGAACAATTGAATTGAATTTGGAGAACAGGACTTGTCCACCCACTTTGAAATTTGCCATTTGGCAGAGCCCCACATCCCCCAAATTCCAGAGCTGTGTTTCTGCTCATTGTTTCCTTGTTTATAAGTGGGTTTGGGGTCAAATAATGCAAACTTGAGAGCTGAGATGATCTTAAATGAGGTTGTAAAGCAGAGGATGTGGTGTGGAATGAATTGTAGGGGGACTGTTCTAGATTTAGCAAAAATACTTTTGCTTCTCCATAAAACCTTTAGGAAAACAAACAAACCTAAAGAAATATAACCAAGGTATTGGTGTATAAACCCTAAAATAGCCAGAATTCTATTTTTTAAATTTATATATATCGATATATTTATTCTTTCTGTGAGTTACAAACCCCTTGGCCAACCTAATTGCGTTTTTATCAGGAGGATTTTTACTGATTATAATAAACTATCCCACTATGCTAATCCAGACTTTTAGAAGAAATAATAATTCCTCAGCCCTTATCAGTGAGCAGTGGCTGCTGAGTCTCTTCCCTGTGTTCACTGCAGTTGATATTATAACTCATTAGGGGATGTAAACCACTTTATATCCTTTTATTTCACTCAGTGATAAATAAATTAACATTGGGAACCTTCAGGATTTTTGCTGGTTTTAACTCAATTTAAGAGCTAATTGTTCCTTCTTGGAATTGCTTCTGAAGACCCTGAATTTGCAGGAAGATTTTAATTGATTTATTTGGCAAAAAAAGCATGGATTGAGGAGCAGAGGATCAGGCAGGGTGAAGGGTTTCTTTTCAAGGTGCAGGTCCATGAATCAGCCTGGAAAAACATTTCCCTGGCAGCAGATTCAGCCCTGGAGACAGCCCACAGTGCCTGGGGCTGAGAGGGGAGTCAGGTACAGAGTCAGGAATTTGGGATGAGCTCTCAGAGTTTGATTTGGAGAAGCTTTGGAGTTGCCCAGGTTTGCAGGAAATTCTGCAGCAATCCAGGTTTATTTCTCCTTTATTTATCCTTGGCCTTTCCTGGGGCCCCACCCAGCAGCAAATGTGCAAAAAGTGAATTTTGGGAGGTTTGGACAGAGCCACAGCTGGACTTTTGTCCTTGT